ATTATTATAAGCGAGTGTAATACTCCTATGTTGAATGAAGATATTTTCATTTTGATTTTGATTTCTAGTTACGCGTACACTACAAATAATTCAAACGATACAACAAACTTCCCGTCCCGTGACTTTGTTCGTTTTAGTGGAATCAAGTACAAATTAAACGCGATAAAATCCAGACAAGAAATATCTTATGATAAAGATTCATTTTTATTAAAGTTACGTTTAAGTCCGTTTCAATTTTTGTTTGCAAACAATTTTCCTTTGAAGAGTAGAAGCAAATAATAAGTATTTTTGTAATAAAATGTTCTAAGGTTAAACACACGTCTAATTATAAAAAAATTCGAAAAGAGAAATGTTAATGTTATTGCTATGTCTTATTTTTTTTAATATACGAAACATCATTAAAAACCAGTCGTAATGTACTTAATTGATTATCAACTATATAATGGCGCCTGAAGGCAAACGTTTATAATTTTTTTTTTAAATCAAAAATATTATTTTTAAACGTTTACTATAATTATCGAAATTTCTGTCATTTAAAAAAATTAAATGATATGTCGATGATGAGTCATTACTTTTTGTTAAAGCCTTCAGTACTTACTTAATTATTGTTAACTTGATGTTAAGCCTAATCTCAAGTTAAAAATAACTTTGTCCACAGCAAAAACTATTTATAATATTGAAAAAATACTAAGTGAACATTAAAATATGTAGAAAAAGTGCGAAAAGATTGTCGCCGCTGTGGGAATCGAACCCACGTCTTCGGCATTCGCGGCCTGACGCTCTAGCCACTGAGCTAAACGGCTTAAGTGCAAAGATTAGCACTATAAACAATTTAAATTTCAAATACTAAGTGACTTTAACTGAATAACACGTTTTCTAATAAACTAACAGTATGCATTTCGCCGCTGAAAGAACGCCTCATAACCACCTTACTCCTTATTTATTTTTTTGTAATCAAAAGACAAGAGAGTTAATAAATAATATAATGATGATGACATTCAGGTCAAAAATAAACCAGAACGTTAGACCTTGTGTATATCTATTCCTTTTCCTCTAACATCATAGTTTGCAGATATTTAGGATAAAAAATGCAATAAAGCTAACTTTATGCAACATTCAAATTAACTTAATTGGTACTTAATAATTGGCCGCACTTGAGATAAGTAAGCGTATGATCAGAATTCACTTAGATTATAAGTTATTAAGTACATTTGTGTTTTATGTAGGTACTTATGTATAAGACTCATTTTGGTAAGAAAATTAATTTAATATCCGTTATGCAGTAATTAAACTTTAAATACAGTGCACATAAACACTGATTTAACATTAAGTTGATAGATATTAATTGCAGTTTATAATTTTTACGCTTTGTTGACGTAGTTGATGGATTTGATTCCCGCTCAGTACAAGTATTTATTTTTACTAGTGATCGTTCAGTGTCGAAATTCGAACATAATTAATTGTACATGGTAGTGTGCATACACTGTATTTTTTTATAAATTTTTTGAATATGTACATAATTTTAAAAAATGTAAGCATTCTGCACTTCTTCTGTTAAAAAAAATAATTGCGGGATTTCAAACACCTCTGTCCCAGAAAGTTTCTTAAAAAGGGGTACAAAGTTTTTGGTACACGTATTAAATATATAGAAGACATATAATGTACTCGATCTGGGTGCTTATTTTCTTGCACATGTATTGCCATTATATAGCATAATTTCTCAATTCCAAGTACTAATGTTAATAGACCGGGTCACTCACACCCAAGTTTCTAACTGTTGTATCGAAAAGCGGTCCGTTAAAGGTGGGTGAGGGGGGGAAGTCCCACGGGAGCGAGGCGCGACATCCGCGGGGAGCTCGCGGATGTGACGAGATCCGGCATCTGCCGATCTAAATTGCGGTACGGTCTGAAAACATGTCCCAAGATATCGATTATATAATATTTTTAGGACATTTTTATACAACGTTCTCTATTTCCAAACTAAGCGACGCTCGTACTATGGGTACTAGATAACTGATAAACATACTTTTCTTTTGTATATAAATACATATAATTTTACAAGTTTAAACACCCATACACTGGAATAACGCTATGTTAATCGCACAATATTTTTCCAGTAGTGGGGATCGAACCCACAAACTCTGGCGCAAGAGGCAGTTTCACTACTCACTACGTCAATCGGGCTGTCAAAATTTATGCGCAATTTAAACGAGATATCATCCTGAAACGAGTGTAAAAAGGTGAAATTTATTATGACCTATACCTATGAATTTCTTCCGGTAATGAACAAAGTAAACGTGTGGGCTAGCGACCTTGCTAGATTCTAAGCTTATCTAAAAGTAGCAAAAAAATAAAAATCAAATGTCAATTTTATAATATACATATTTATTTTATTGACATAAAAACAGTGCCCAGCGTAATATTTAAAATCATATAAGTAAATGTTTATACTGATTGCCACACAACGATTTTATCTACATTGTTTTTTTTTTCGCTTAAATTAAGCAAAAATCTGCCGTTCAGCTTTCGGGAAAGCGTCTGGACGCGAATCCAAAAGACGAAGACGAAGTTCCATTCGTTCGCAGCGGATTTGTTCATATTTTTAACAAACTTTTAAGACTGTCACATACTTTACAGAGGAGCAATTTAGAGATTTTTCATATTGCTGATAATTTAAAAGCTTCTGACATGTTGTAAAAAACATAGGAAACAAAGGAAAAACAATTTACAAACAGTTGTCGGCAGCGTCATTTCCAGACCCAGTTTTTTTTTTTTAATTTTTTTTTTTTAAAGACTGGGAACTCATCGGCCAGAGGCAGTCTTTAACGTTACAAGTATCCATTAGCGCTGGATTATTTGGCAATATTTTAACGAATCCATCTGAGGATTTATCTTCGGACGCTTTATCTCGCTTCGTTGACGCTCGTCTGCGCGTCGGCTGGCACCTACGAATGGGGAAGTTATTAGGAGCAGTGCACAGGAGGGCTTCCTCTAGTTCCTGCTGGATTTAGGGCTACGTAACGCGCGTGCGGCGTCAACATAAATCTTCATTAACATAACCAACCCACGTTTTAGTACGTCGGCCAATAGTTTTGTTGCGGCGGCGTTTCACACAGAAACCGCGGTCGCTGCCCGTGGAAGCCGGCGTTTCCGCTTCCCAAAGATAACCTTAAACGCCGCGCTGGGGACGTGGAAGTTAGCATTTCCGGGACACGATCGATGGAACTTTAAAATACTAAGCAAACATAAAATGCGCACTAACCGGTGTAGATTGGATGGCATTTGTTTTGTGCGATAACATCACAATAACGTGAAACGTGACCTAGAAATTAGGAAGATGCATTCACGAATTGATCTCAGAAGTTCGAAACCCCACGTGACGTATATTAATGGGCGTCTTTCGGTTTTGTTACTTGTAAAATTATCTGTCTCTCGTCTCTGCTCGAGTACGCAAAAACATATCTGTCACGATTTGGACAAAATCTATTCCAAACCGTTATGAGTTGAAGACGAAAGAATCGTTTGTTGTATTGTAAGAAAACGAACGCATTCAAGATTTAAATACAAAGAGTGTTATGAAGGTTTTATCACCATTGTTTGAATTAAGTTCGTGTATAAAACTTATACTCTAAATATTCGATTGTCAGTTATACAGTCTAATAGTGACAGTTGATTATATTTAATAGGGTTATGCCTTAGCAAGTAATAGGTCTTTTTGGAAATAAGGTGTTCAGCCGTTCACGTTACAGTCTTCGCAGTTGCACGAACAGGTCCGTCCGGGGAAGTACCTACTAAAAGACCGCCGTGAAGTGGAAGAGATAGGTACACTTCTCGTTTCATCTGGTGAGTGAGATAACCGGTGCTGACTTTATTAAAAGGTCGCAACGCTTTTGCAACCATACAGATGTTGCAAATATCAATGGGCGGCGGTTATTACTTAACATCAGGTGAACCGCCGGCTTGCCATCTTACAAAAAGATGACTTGAATCGATCAACATTTACTATCAAGTAATGACCCGCTGTTTTTTTCTTCACCGGTTCTTCTCAGGCTAGCGGCTTTCTTTCCGAAAGGGAGTAGTATTTTTGACAATCACAAGACTGACAAGTTATATGGGTTTACTAGGGGTCGTTCAACAGATGCGGGTGTTCAACTCGTTATGAATATTTTTAAAGCCTGGGAAGAGTCGCAGGATGCCTTAGTTATAATCTGTGACTTAACCAAAGCTTTTGAGTATATACAGCATGAAACTACGCCACTATGGTATAGGAAATGCCGCATTCAATCTTCTGAAATCGTACTTGAGCCATCGAATTCAGAGAGATCTTCTGAGGGCCTGGTAAACATGGGGTCCCGCAGGGATCTATTCTTGAGCCTTTTCTCTTCTTCATTTACATAAATGACCTGCCTTATCTATTTAATAATAATGCTATGTTATTTTTAAGTTTAAAAAGCTTATTTTTTACTCTGAAGTAAAGCTATATTATTGTAAAGTTTCATTAAAATTCAGTTTCATTAATTTAGATTGAAAGTACATTTGTAGCAACAATGACTTTAGTGATCAAGATGCAAGTGATACTAGTCGAGTTAGAACCGCTATCTTAAGATTTAACGTCCTCAAACCACTCAACCATATGGAGAAGCCTGATGATTTTACGGCTACAATAATAATCGTATATAAAACATAATAATTTTTATAAATGTAATTTTTTTATGTATATTATTTTCATTTTTTATGACCGATTAATATGAAGCATTTCTATAAAGATTATCGCAAAATGAAATTTCAGTGGAATGAATCGCTTTTATTGCTCTTTAATTTTAATCATTATAAAGGTATTATTTTCAGGGAAATAAAACCAAATACATTTTTATAATACGTTTTACATTTCTTTGTATTCAATTCGATTTCTTTTTTATTTCTATTTTCTATTTTTTTTTATTTTATTCTTAGATTATAAGCGCACGTTGCATTTCAGGATGGAGTAAAAAGGCTCTTCATGTTTCACTTTCCGCCGGATCAAGATTGCCCTTATGGAATCTGGAACGTAAGCAAAATATCATAATCTAAACAAGTCTTAGAACTATATAAACAACTACTAATATAACAAGATAAATTGAGAAAATAGAGAGAAGAAATTTAATTATAATGGAACAATTACATATTTTGCACTACAAATAGGCTAATTTTGGTCCCGTGAATGCCTCATCACTGGTGATGTAGCACCATACATAAATAAGGGTCCACATTTACCATCAGACAAACTGTTGGATATGGTTCCATCGCTTTCAAAGAAAAAGAAAGAAATACATAACAACACTTGCAAGTTTATTGCATGTAATTTATTCTAGTAATGTTTTTCTGGTTCGAGTACGACAAGTTGTGGAAAAATATAGTACATTTCATTTAACAAAAATAACTAAGCTACAACTATGTTTGAGTTTCCCTTACTTTATCCGTTGTCAACGTTAAAAACGTGAGACCCGGTAAAAAGAAACTGCCCTCAACTTACACATAAATATCACGTGCATGGACAACACGCAGATCCGAAACTATTATCTTTGGGTCACACAAGCAGTTGTCCCGTGTGGGAATCGAACCCACGACTCCCGGCGGAAGCCAATACCTTTGCAACTGCGCCACGGGGTTATCAACCGCATTAGAAAAGGGGAATAAATAAATAAATATTTCGGGACATATTTTTACACAACGTTCTCCAGTCCCAAACTAAGCAACGCTTGTACTATGAGTACTAAATAACAGATAAACTTACTTACAAATACTTTTCTTTTTAAAATAAATACATATAATAAATATATAAACACCCAGACTGGAAAAGGACTGTAATTTTCTTTTTTTATGTGAGAGAGTGGAAATCGAGCTGGCGGTTCACCTGATGTTAAGTGAATACCACCACCCATGGACATTTGCTACGCCCGTACGGTTGCAAATGCGTTGCCACCTTTTAATAAAGTTGTTCCCGGCTACCTCACTCACTAGAAGAAACGCAGAACCGTAATACTTCTACTCTAGGCCGGTCTTCTGTGAGGTCGTGGTACTTACTATAATACACACAACATTCTTCCAGCAGTGGGGATCGAGCCCACACCTGCCCAAGTGACTCCCCTCTTATGAGGAGGGTGTGGGTAGTGACCCATTAGGCCAACCGGGTCGTGTATAAGACGGACGGTCTATAGCAGTGTTTCCCAACCATTTTTGTGCCATAACCCTTATACGTAACAATTATTTAAGAATTGCCTTTTTGCTTTTTCCGTTAAATCTGGCACCGAAATTGGCATTTAAATGGCCTGGCGAAAGGCTTGTAGTTGCGTCGAGTCCGTTTTCGTAACGGCCCCCATAACAATCGAATCGCCCCCCAGTGGGGCGGGGGCCCCGCGTTGGGCAACGTTGGACGAACAGACCAGCTATTGGGGAGCAGCAGAAGATCGAAGAGTGAGAGGGACCTGCGCACGTGGCGACGCAGAGTGGAGCGCTGCGAATAGCGGCGCTCGCATATCGGGCACCCGTGCGCCCTCTGTGCAGAGTGGGTGCGCGAGTGCAGCGACAGGTTGCAGCGGCGCGCGAACGATTTGCCGCAATCTCTGCGCGTGCGGCCGGTTCGAATTCATAATTCCAATTCAAATCATTTATCCGTCGAAATGAGAAATGTACATTTCATTTATCGATGGTCATTTTTTTATATGTACCACCGTTTCGTGATGAGATTCCTCTAACGGAGAAGAAACGGGCGAGAGAAACTCCGTAGGTATCCTCTTTTTTGTCATTTTTTTTTTACTCAAAAAATACATAGTTATACAGTACATATTTTTTTTTAAAAAAAAACAGCTTAGGAGCGATCATCTCATTCCCAGGGGCTATTATCGTTAATGTATTCATTTATATTATAATAACCCTTTTTAAAAAGTTTTTCTTTAATAAATTTCTTAAACCTGTTAATAGATAGGCTTTGCACATTCGAATCCCAACGCAGAGCGACAGCTTATTTATATTGCATGCATACATCACTGCATGGTATAAAACAAAGTCGTACCGCTGTCTGACCCTATGTACGCTTAGATCTTTAGAACTACGCAACGGATCTTGATGCGGTTTTTTTTTTATTGTATAGAGTGATTCAAGAAGGTTTAAATGTATAATACATTGCAATAGTGCAGTATAATTTAGCTATCTAAGTTTGAACAGTTTTACCATTATAAGTAAAACACTGTCCCAATATATTGTCACAGATAGAAAATTAGGAGGTTAGTAAAAAATGTACTGAAACCTTTACAAGTTTAACTAATACCATCAATATCAAATTTATTACTTTAAAATTTAATCCATGAAACATGAACATGAACAACCGAAGGTACAACACCTGTACATTAACAGAGAAATATTGCTGTGATTAATGTAACCAAAGGCTTTTTGCTAACTTAGGTACGTAATCGATGCAATGTCACATTTTTGAAGTTATAATGCTATTTAAGCGTTCGGAAAAAGTGATGCGATGAAAGAAATAATTGGTATTCCGGCAGATGCGGCATCATTAAACATCTACCAACCGGATCCGATACATTACTAAAAACTCTTTAATAATTAATGTGATCTAAATATACAATTATTTACTGAGACGAGATCACATATTAATCACACAATCAATAAAGTTCATATAAATGATAAGGTTAACTATTTTTTTATGTGACTAGTTGCCAAGCGAGCAGGCGGTTCACCTGATGTTAAGTGAATACCACCGCCCATGGACATCTGCCACACCCGAGGGTTGCAGATGCCCCAAACCCGTGGGCTCTGGCTAGCCCACCGGTTCTGCGTCAGATGAAGCTTTAATAGTCTCGGGACTGAAAGGAAAAACATCAGCTAATACAAGATACAAGTTGCAGATGCGTTGACAACCTTTTGAAAATTGGGCTTCTGCTACCTCACTCACCAGACGAATCGGGAAAGTATTATACTTCCACTTTACGTCGGTCTTCTGTGAGGTCGTGGTACTTGCCAAAGGATTTAGAGATCTAGAGACTCCCTCACATTTCCTATATCTCACTGTCCACCATCAGTGCGAGCTGCCGTTATGTTACTTACGAACAGCTGTAAGGTCTGACGTTGAGATGCATCCGCCTGTGGAACTTCAGCTGGCTGGCGTCGGAGAGCACCTTCCCGCACACGTCGCAAAGGAACTTAGTCGTTATTCCGTGCTCCTGAAGGTTCAAAATTGTGTTGATATCGTTTTACTGCTAAAAAAATTCTTCCCGCTTTTCTTTCCCGAACCGGTATCGGTGGGATTTTGACAATCCGCATTAATTATAGAAGCACAACATTCAACAGATATTCACTTATGAACATTACAATTTATTTATGAACTTTGTACACAATACAAATCCATTTTTAGCCGACTTCAAAATGAGGAGGTTCTCAATTCGACTGTATTTTTTTTTTATATTTGTTACCTCAAACATAGTTTGGGTTTTCGTTAGTAAAAAAAATTTTTATTTTTTTTTTTATTAACGAGAATCAAATCCGACCTCAAATATCTCGATCTGTATTCATTTCATAATTGATTTTAAGGAGTGCCCTAAGGATCTGCGGAGCCCAAGATCCAATACCAATGAAATGAATATGGGACCACACGGGAAGCACCAGCTTCCAAATAAAAAAAAGAATCCACCGGTCTACTCTGTCGAAAGTTCCGAGGTGGCAAACATAAAAAAAACCGTTTAAAAACTTTTAAGTTAAACGGTTTTATTTTATAATAATAATTTTTTTTTTATTAATAATTTCCAATTTTGACCCAAATAAATAAACAAATAAATACCGTACGGGTCGAGCTAAATAAAACCGTTTACAAAAACACAGTCGAATCGAGAACCTCCAAATTTTTTGAAGTCGGCTAAAACTACCTTCAAATGTATCGTAAGGCACTTCTTCGAGTCACAGGGTTTGGAGCAGTGGAGACAGACGAATCTCCTCCGGCTGGAGGCTTGAGGGTGAACTGTGGTCATATGCGCCTTTAAATACCTGCAAATAAAGTCAGGTCGAGTCAAAGTATATTTCAAAATCAAAACCAAAATCAAAAATATATTCATTCACATAGACGCTTGCGCGTTCTTATGAAATGTCAAAAATTTTACATAAAAATTAATACGTTCGTAAGTTACCACCGGTTCGGAAAGCAGTTTCGGTTGAGAAGAAACCGGCAAGAAACTCAATAGTTGCTCTTTTTAAAACGATTAGTTTACAATATAATATAACAAGTATGTCATTTTAGCCTACGTGAGTATCAACAGCATTAACGTCAACATTGGCGTCGTCAAGATATTCTGCAATGGTATAATATGCCTTAGCCATAAGTTCGCGTTTAATTTTGCGTTTAAATTCATCTAGAGGCAGACTTAATACCGATTGTGGATTTTATTATACATGCGCACACTTTGCCCCATGAACGATCTATTTACTTTCTTTAGACGAAACAATGGTGTCATGAATTTGTCCTTATTTCTAGTATTTAATTTATGTCTGTCACTATTCTTTACATAACAATTAAGATTATGTCTAACGTACAAGATATTACAATAAATATATTGGGACGCAACAGTGAGTATATTAATCTCTTTAAAAATATCTCTGAGTGCATGCCAGGCTCCGATGTTATAGATTGCTCGGACAGCTCTTTTTTGAAGAATAAATTTATTTATTCGATATAGGCCTAACTTAAGCTCTTATTGAACGTCAACAAAAAATCTACCACCGGTTCACTAAACTAGACCTGCACAGAAGAGCCGGCAAGAAACTCTGCGGTCTTGTTCTTTTTGTTATTTTTTTTATTTCATAATAAGCGCTGTTCCCATAATGGAAGCTGTACACGTTTTAACCACGTCACATACGTGGCCACAGCAGACCCTACTATGGCAAACTACAAGAACGTAAACGCCCCAGTCATCTAAGGCAGAAGTTTTAACACTATCAATTAACATTACCCAAGGGAGCTGGTCACATTAATCAACAGCAATCAACAGCAGAAACAACTTGGTACCTCTTCCACAGTAGATATGTGAATATGTGATTCACATTGTAAAGCATAAATTATACAGTGTATAGTTGTATATAGTATTGTAAAGTATACTATACATATTGAATCCCATTAAGCAATTTTAAAATGCCCTCTGTGCCTTTGCCCAGGAGTGGGAATTTCACAGGCTAACTTTACTTACATTACATTACAATGTTAAAAGAATTGCCTCCAGATGCTTATACCAAGTTCAGTTTTACCTCATATTAAACGCAGAAGTATAATACGACGAGATCACATATTAATCACACAATCAATAAAGTTCATATAATTGAAAAGGTTAACTATTTTTTTTTATGTGAAAAGTTGCCAAGCGAGCAGGCGGTTCACCTGATGTTAAGTGAATATCGCCGCCCATGGACATCTGATGGTTGCAGGCGCGTTGACAACCTTTTGAAAATTGGCCTCCTGCCACCTCACTCACCAGACGAAACGCGAAAGTATTACAATTCCACTTTACGCCGGTCTTCTGTGAGCTCTTGGTACTTACGCGGACGAGCCTGCCCATTCGTGCAACAGCCGAGGCCGCTGCGTGGCCCTACCACAGCGGCCTTGCCACATCACGTACCTGTCCATGTGAAACGCGACGCCGCACAGCTCGCAAACGAAGGGTTTCAGCCCCGTGTGGATGTTCTGATGCTGCTCGTACCAGGTCAGAACTTGGAAACCCTTTCCGCACTGCTCGCAGGTGTACTGGCGAGTTCGACTCGATTAGCTTTCAAGGGCCCATTGATTACTTCGTGGATTTGCCACGGTGTGAGTTTCGGTAACGTGGTTCGTGGATTAGTTATTACTTATTTTTTTTTTAAGAACATTGCCCACACTTTAGGATAACATTATATCCTGTGCTGTTAGGACATTTTTACAAACATAAATTTCGCGCGGACAAACGCCCGGATGCGAAACAACTATTTGTGGGTCACACAAATAGCTGCATGGATTGGATTCGATTCCCACATGAGAAAAATATTTGTGCTACCCACGGATAATTGTTTCTTTATTTTTTTTTATTACCCAAATCCTTCTACACAAAAATAGAAAATAAATATAGACATTTTATATCTGACCTGACCTGACGCTCAGCTAAACGGCTGATTGCCGACGAAAATTTTAACGTCCGTTATCTTTATAAGACTTCCAACGTTTTTACCTTGATCCTAATATTTTAACTATTGCTGAATTTGAATATTAATAACTATTATAACGACAAGCAGCACTAGAGGTTATATCACCGTCCGGGAAGGCGGCCGAAATCCAAGTGACCACTGCTCCATGCAACCATGTGTCCCTTGGCTCGAGAAGATAACGTCATATCCGGTATACAGTGTTGCCAGCGCCAACATCTTCATTGTTTTTTAAGCATTTGAAGCGATGCTTGGCATGCATTGTTATATATCATCGGTGGGTGTTTTTCGCTTAGGGCGCGAATCCCGAAGACGTGGGTTCGATTCCCACAGCGGCGAAAAACTTTCCGTGCCTTTTTCTAATTTTATTTTATATCTAATTTTATTTTACAACTAAATTTTAAAACATTAGGTGGTTTACAAATAAAATAGTGACGAAAACAATTCTTCACCACCATCCCCGACCACACATCAGGCATTTCGCTGAATCTGCCAAGCTCTGATAAAGTAAATAGAATACAACAGAATGCACACCACACAATCCGTAAAATATTTAAAAATGAAAGTATATTCACCGTATAGTCAGTCCTGTGCCGCCTTTCGTGTTCCTTCAGCGCACCTAAATATACTGTGCTGTATCCGCACTGATACCTGCAGGGAACTTTGTAGCCGCTGTGAGCTCTCCCGTGCCTCACAATCTCCGAAGCAGTTTTATATGTGCGACCTAGAAAAGTGAAGTTAAATATATTGGCAGAACATAGAGCCATAACAAAGAATAAGAGCAGTTCGTAGTACCCTAGTTTGACTAAGATAGTTTATCGATATACATTTGATGTATATTCCAATCAACTTTCTGAGACTCCTTCCACAAGTGGGCGTCGAGTCGATAAAAGCGCTTGGGTTTTCGCGCCCGATTCGAAAAAATATTATTTAACACAAACAAGCAATTGTATGTTCAATTGACAAAAATAGGGTAGAGACAGATTGGTACTTTATATAATTTTTTTTTATTTCATTAGTTAAAATTATTTATAACATTTATTGTACCACCTAAAGAAAATGTTATTTGGACAGTGTAATAAAAGTTTTTACAGTGCTAATCTCTGCACTTAAGATTAAACATTAAAACTTGTAAGAAAAGGACGAAAAGATTGTCGCCGCTGTGGGAATCGAACCCACGTCTGCGGAATTCGCGAATTTGCCACACCGACGAAAATGTTAACATCTTTTATCTACATTGTTATTTAGCATTTAAGCAATACTGCAATCCCGTGCAATGCAATCAGGCGTTTAGCTCAGTGGCTAAAGCGTCAGGCCGCGAATGCCGAAGACGTGGGTTCGATTCCCACAGTGGCGACAATCTTTTCGTACTTTTTCTACAAGATTAAATAAAAGTTTTAGTCCATTTTTTCCACAAATTTTAATGCCCTATTTAACATAAAAAATACTGGTATATTATATAATACATACCACACAATTTACACAAGAATGGTCTGTCTTCGATATGAGAAATTGTATGCCTATTGATCTTTCTTTTGCTGTCAAATAACTTTTCACAACTGGAACATTTGTATTGAATAGAACCATCATCAGATGTAACAGCTTTATACTTTTCTTCCGTGGATGTCTTTCCTTCTAGCAATTTGTCTGCATGTTTGTGCTCTTCGTTATAATGTCTCAGTAGTTCAATATGTGAACCGGTGACTTTATAACATGTTAAGCATGGGAAGTTTGTATATATCTCGAGTTGCCCATTTGATTTCTCATTTGATTCATTGTTTGAAGTGGATATGGGGTGCTGAAATGTTTTATAAATGATATCTGTATCCAAACATTGTGGTATAATTTTACAATAAAAATAGGTAATTAAAATACCTTTAACTTTCAACATTAAGTAAATATCATTTATTTTCTTTGTTTCTAGCCAAGATCCTAATAATAAGCACCAACAATTAAAAAGAAAACAAATGTGTGGGTTTTTTGATTTGTGTTGTAGGTATTAGAAATTAAAATTTTTACAGTGCTAAGCTCTGCGCTTAAGATTGAACACATATGTAGAAAAAGTTTGAAAACATTGTCGCCGCTCTGGGAATCGAACCCACGGCTTCGGCATTCGTGACCTGATGCTTTAGACACTTTGTGTTGTATTAGCGGAGTTGCCGAGATATTAGCTTTGGCGCTGGTTGTCATAAGTTCGATTATTTATGAGATAATATTTCTGTTGGGTTGACTTAGGTCAGGCAGCCGATCAAAATACGTATTACAATAAGAATCCAAAAGAAAAACGTTAAAAAAAATCATTGAGGTATAAAGTGAAAAAATTATATAATAGAAATTGAACCTTCTCATTTTGGTTACTATCTGCTTTGTTTCCTTGTGATATTTTTATCATGGAGAGAGATATATTGTCATCTTCTGAATCCATTTTTTCTCCATTGTCACCGAGTTCATATTTACTTGGACTGCTGTTTTCTTTAGTAACATGCTCATTTAGTTCTAATTTTATATTAGAATTTTCTATTAATATTTCATTTTCTTTGTTTTCTAACTTTGCATGTTCATTATCATCAACTGTACCATCTTTATTATCATCCTTTAACCATTTTAATAAGATATTTTGATTTTGTATAATTTTCTGACGAAATATATTGACATCTTCTATCTTCTCCACACAAGGTCTGCATATTGTTTGAGGGAGACTGTTATTTATTATAATCTGGAATTTAAAAATATTTTTAACTATAAATAGATAGATATTAAATTTTTATGTGTTTTCTGTCCACTGTTCAGAACTGGTTTCTTTTTGTCAATTAATGGAAGGCATATAAACACAATTGAAAATAAACATTGAATATTTTTGGTATAAAACAATTTTTTGCCTAAAGACTTTATATACCTATATAAATACAGAAATTTACCTTTACAAAACTAAGTTTTGTTGATGGGTATGTTATTTTGCACAGGAGTTCTTTATACAATGTAGATGCAAACTAAGAAATTGCATTTTGAAATTTATCCCTTATAAGTTATAATTGTAGAGAAGTTAACTATTATCTCATAAAAACCAATAAGTAAACCAGTATATTAAAGACATGTCTTTAGTATGTCGGTATACTTAGGTATAAAGATTGTTTATATCTGCATACTTTTTACATAAATAATTATATAGACTCTTGGAACCAAAAAGCTTATACTGGTATCACTGATAGTTGTTAAAGATACTTGCAAAGAAAATGATTCTACGCCCTTTGGATATTAATGAACCTTTTAAGTGTTAACTTTTCGCAGAACTCTCACTGTGAGCAGTGATTTTAACTCTCAAAATAATTTTCAACACTGCTAAAATCAAAATCCATTTAGCCCTTTAAGAAACTTGGCTCAGGTTTTAAGGTCTTGGCTCTAGTTGTTTGAATTAGGCCGTGATTACTTTTTAATTTTTGTAAACAATCAATTGTTTTTGAAACTTACATCGTGACCAAAACATAACGAAACCTTTAGCATCACTTCCTTTGTGAGAGTTTTAATTTCAAGTTTTAAAGAATCAGCAAGGCACATTCTGCACATATCATTCATTGTACTCTCATAAAATAATACGAGCGATAATGATTAAAAACAATTGTCTTCTTCTTTTTTGATTAATGCCTAATAAGTAATAACAATTATTAATAAACTACAATTATTATAAAATAAAAACACCGGTTATTTTGTTTTTGTTTGTCAATACAGACCAAAGAGAATAATGTAATTAATCACTACGGCGGCACTCCAATACCAACCATACCACAAAAATACCGCAAAAATGTCAAGCAACAGGAGTACCAACGTAACGAGCCAAATAGTGCTTAAACAAGCTAGCTTAGCTTCTTATCGATATCGATAAAATATACTAGGTGGAAACAGAGGTTTCCACTTCATATTTTTTTATTAATTTTAGGTAAGTATCCAGTCCGTATTTATGTCCAATGTTAATGAGGGTATAATCGGTACTAATACAAGATTGTACTTAAATGCGGACCTGAAATAAGATAAAAAGCGGTTCTGTTAATTCAAATAAAATTTTATTACTGAAATGAATTTTCTTTTTTGTCTCTTGTTTTTTCAGCTAACAGCTGTTGTCTTGCTGTACACGAGTCTGGAAAAAATTGAAACATAAAAATAGAATCAAAATCCAAAAATTATTTTAGTTTTCTTACATATTCAGGGCACAAAATTAATTATACGACGTATCAATATCATAGAGATTATGTTTCAAATTTCGTGCAAAATTCACCTATTCCTTGGTCATTTATGTAGGCACACCATTCAAATATGTAAAACTTTGTGCCCCTACTCTTTCACACAACACTCTTATTTTTTTCAATGATAAACATTAACGAGCTATATGGTCGGCCCATCGCCACTTCAGCTTGCTAATCCTCTGAGCTATGTCGGTCACCTTAGTTCTACTGCGGATGTCTTCGTTACGAACTCTATCACGCAGAGAAATACCGAGCATAGCCCGCTCCATAGCTCGCTGAGCGACTTTCAGCTTCCTCATACGGCCAGCAGTGAAGGACCACGTCTCGGTTCCGTAGGTCATCACTAGCAACACACATTGATTGAAGACTTTAGTCTTCAAACATTGAGGTATATTTGACGAGAAGATTTGCCGTAGTTTCGACGATAACCGTTGGGGAAGAAAGGTTCTCGAGTGGCAGCTTCGTACTGGCCATCGCAGTGTGGGACGACCCCCCACTAGATGGAGTGACGACCTGTGCAAATGTGCGGGAAGTCGATGGATGCAGGTGGCTCAGGATCGTACTTCGTGGCAGTCTATGGGAGAGGCCTATGTTCAGCAGTGGACTCAAACAGGCTGAAATGATGAAACATTAACGTAGTTATCGATATGTGGATATTATAGTTGCAGTACATCACTAGCACACAATTTAAATGAGCTAAATTTGTTAATTTTATTTGTTCTTAGCCTGCTCTACTTACATATGGCTGCAAAGTGTTATATTTAAGTGCTTACATGGACTTCATCTAAGGGAAATCGCGCCATAAACATCCTTTTTTCAAGAATCGAATGACTTGCTCGATTTTCACCAATTTCACAGGCGAATAAACCGTCTTTTAGGCATTTTGAATTAAATATACAACTCTGATCACCTGTCACTAGTTTCCGTGAGAAATTTTACTCTAAACAATTTAAATTTACAATTAAATAAGCATTTACATTCAATATACGCGGTGTAAAATTAAGTTTTGACAAACAACATGGCACTTCTTGTATTGCAAGAAAGAGAAACCGCATTGAGGGAGTGTGATAGCAATATCCGCCATTATTTGCGACGTAAAGTCCATAGAAAAATTTTTTCTTCCTAGTTTCGCCAGACTGATACAGACGACAGATAGAGACAGATATATCAACAACATTAATGTTACCTATTATAAAATTATTTTACTGTCTTAGGATTTCTCCATACATACTATTCATTACTTATCTACACTGTCATTTTTCTAAAAATCTCTCTTTTTCCGGAAAAAGCGCCCAAGACATTATTGCACAATACATACAATATACATATTGTAAGCGAAGCGTACTGAAAAAAGCGTATTGAAACGAAACATAAACCAATAAGCACACAAGATATATCCGTATTTACGTTAAAAATTACTTTATATTATTTTTTGAAGACCGACGAGCTCACGCTAAAAATATAGTTTGTGCGTTATGTCGACACGATGACGCTGTCGGTTTCGCTGTATCTCCGCGAACTCTGTTAACGAAAGATGGATATTTCGACTAATAAGGGGAGTTGAGTTGCGTTGTCCTATCTCCACGACGCAACTCAAGGGAGCGATCAGATTGAGGTTTGAACTTCAGCCTGAACCACGATCCACAGTGGAGTTTATCCAAAAGAAGTAAGGTTGAAAATACGATTGAATCACGAATGATTGCTTACAAAATTTAAATTAGGAATATAGATAATAAGCAAAAAAAAATTGTATACAGTATTTTTTTCGATTGAGAGTTAAATTATTTGGGAAATTCAAATTCAAATATTTTTTATTCATTAAAGAAGCATAACCTTTACTTATTGATTGTCAAAACACTACCAATGGTTCGGAAAAGAAAACCATTAACTTAACAAGAACCGAAAGAACATCAGCGGGAACATAATATTTACAAAAATAATCAATTTACTGAAACCATTAACATTTCGAAGTTAAAAGATTTGTAAATAATTATGCAACAAGTGAACGATCGTATGTGGACTTTCATTATCAAATAGACGCGTTTTACCTGAAATAAAACGCATATTAAACTACTTACCTTATTAGAAGCTTAATATAATGAGATAGGCATTTCCTGTTTCCGTTGTATCATACCTCCCTTTCTATCGTATATCGCTGTCTCTTTCGCACATCCCCTCCAGTCACCAGGCGTGGGGGCATAGGGAGCCTGAGGGTTCCAGATGCTCTGTATGTCATTGCGTCGAATTATACCAGGCAGGAATAGAAAGTAAGCTTCTAATAAGGTAAGTAGTTTATAGTAGTAGACTATATATATATATATATATATATATATATATATATATAGTCTCAATAAATAATAAGAGCCATAAACAATAGGCATGATGACAGTAACTAAGATTCAACAAAATAATGTGTTAATCTAATTTGTGATATCTCATAATTTCGTAAAAAAGTATTTATCTTCATTTTTTATTAAAGATTGATTATTTATTTAATAAAATAAAATTATAAAATTAAGCAATCCGCCATGTCAAGTTGAACACCAATCAGAGCGAATTACGTCACGACTATGTAAGCTTCTAGACGTCATAATATTTTGTTAGCAATTTGCGCCTATTTCTGTTTGTTTGTCTGAGTTTATCAAGTAATTCGTGGTTTTCAACAATCTCTCACTTAATCTTGTATTTTCAAAGTCCAAATAAAGAAAAGTCAGCTATGGAACAAGGATTTACCAAGGCAAATAGCTCTAATTTGACTAAAATTGATTTGTTGATGCTGGGAGAGTTTCTTGGAGCTAACAAAGATTTTTGTTCAGCAGAATTTAGAAGTGTAAAAACTTCTAAGTAAGTATAGTAACATTAATTAAAAAGTATAATGGTTCAATAGTGCAAAAGCCGTAATTTTTTTTTTAACTTTCATAATAGATTAAATTTGAGGTTACTTTACGTCGTGTTGTTTTAAAACTATTAAATACTTACAAATTTATTTCTATATTTTAGGTCCTCTAGGCCATCCTATGGAGATGACGCTGTAAGCTATGTACAGCTGAAACGAGATGGAAAGCTGTGTATTGTGAAAGGCAAAATCTGTCCTGAACATAAAGTCCATGCAAAGTTGTATGGAGTGACTGTTGTAGTTGATGAAGAAGATGAAAAAATCAAATCCATAGAATGCCACGACTGTATTGCTTCACAAGGAGGGTGTAAGCATGCTATTGCATTTCTCATGTGGGCCCATCGTAGGAGTGAAGAGCCATCATGTACATCCGTGGAATGCTACTGGATGAAGTCCAAACTATCGAGAGTTGGGACTACCATTAAATATATAACAGCAAAAGAGTTATCAAAAGGTACGCCCAGCTTGCCTTCAAATTCTGGAGTTTTCGAAATGTTTTTGGAAGAAGGGAAGAAAAGAAAGCTAAACAACCTTGAGATACTAAAGTATCAAAAAGATTATGTTTGTAGTAGAACAGAAAACTTATCAATGCATAAGTTAGTATTAAAATATAAAGAAATATCATGTGCTAATTTTTTGAGAAAGGTTGAAATATCAGACATAGATATCAAGGAAGTTGAGGAAATGACAAGAGACCAACATCAAAGCAGCCTATGGCATGAATTAAGATATGGCAGAGTGACAGCCTCACGGGCATTTGATTTTAGTCGGTGTACATCTAAGGATGGTACTTTAATTTCATTCATTAATTAGGAAAAATTCCTGACACACTGGCAATGAAACGTGGCAGAGATTTAGAGAACGAAGTTAGGAAGACGGTGAGTAATAAACTGGGAAAAAAAATAAAAATGTGTGGTTTGTTGCTGTCAAAAACCTATCCTATGATAGCAGGTTCTCCTGATGGGATCTGTGAAGATGCCATTATTGAAATAAAATGTCCCATGAGTGAAAAAGCAATGGTTAATTATGTGAAAAATGGGAAGCCAACTCAGAAGTTTAACATGCAGATGCAGCTGCAAATGTATTTAACTGGACTTAAAAGAGGCTACTTTTGTGTAGCTGATTCTAAATACAGTGCAAATAAAGAAGTGAAATTAATAAGTGTGAAATATGATGATAATTACGTATCAGATATTTTGAAAGTACTAATTTCTTCTTGGAAAGATAATGTATATCCATTATTATATAACAGTATCATTTGAGTGAGTAAATTAAATGCAGGTGTTATATGTTCATTGTTTTATTTAATAAGTGAATCTTGCAAATTGATGAATCCACAAGCAAAAGTAATAACATCATCAAGTACTTTAACTAAGTTATGATTTAGACATGCATGTGGCTTTAACATATGAAATTCACGTAAGCATCGAATCAGTCTTTCAACATGAATTCTTAAACTGGCAATTTGTTTAGTTTGTTTGGTCTCACTTTTCGAAAGTTTAGTTCCAGTTGTGACACTTGGAGGTCTTACAAGCTGCACACCATATTTACGCAACTTTTGGTTCTACATGCTTAAAACCTCTATCAGCCATTACGCACATGCCGGGTTGCAAACATTTTATAAAATCACATGTTTCAACCAAACATGTATCTGTTATCCTTCCTCCATACCCTGGTGAAACATAATTGACTAAACAATTCGGAGTACAGGAAACAAGATATTTAATGGTATCAGCCTCTTTGTATTCAGACCATGAGAGAGACTGATTCAAAGCTTTTGAAGGCTTCTGCACCTCAATTTCTAAGCAGTCAATAATGCAACTTACACTGTAATAATTATTTCTAAAAGGCATAGGTAAATTAGTTTTAATATAATCATTATCAAGATTTACTATAAAAGGCCGCATTATACTAGCTAAAATAAGTATATTTTTTAACAAATAATTTACTACAGTATGTTGTGGTCAAGGTGAAGTCATCACTCAGTTCTTTAAATGGATTATTTAATCTAATTTTTTTTAAACACATTAATATATGGATCTCTGGTATTTCAGACTATTTTTCAATTAAATGTATAAGGTAATAGCAACCTTTAGGTAAACCTATATAATATCGAGGACTCTTCTTAATTTTATTCAATGTAAATTCCAATATTTTCATTGCCTCTTGTTTTTTATCATCCTCAGTTAGTTCACTACAATCTGAAGACTTCATTTGAAATGATACTGTTGGTGATGTTTCTCTCAATGTTATTGATGGTGTGTAAGAAATATCACTATCAGATTGGTCTTCTTCTTGATGGTTTATATAAGCTGGATGTCCATGGCTTAGTGGAAATGCAAGTTTTGACTTTAAATGGTGATGTGGATACTGATTGTACACTAGGTTTCATGGGTGATGTCATCTGGTTTACTAGTTTAGTGTCTGTTTGGATTGCTTTGCTTCTAAACTTCTTCATCATATTCACTTGGATTGATTTATTTGCAGATTTAGTTACTTCTTCTTCACTAATATTCTCTATGTTTACATGGAAAACTGAAAATAAAGAACATAGACATAAAACATTGACATCAATTAGACATTAAACAAAACATATTATTTACATAATAAATCATCAATCAGACAATAGAGTAGACATGCCATTTAATCTCCAACATTATAAAAAGGAAAGGTTACTGAGAAAAATTTAATTCATTTAGAAAAAAGAAATAAACAAAAAAGGTACCTGAATGTCCAGATGAAGTCTCCCCGAGTTCCATATCTTTTCTGGTATTACTGCTCTCTTCAAAATCTTTTTCACATTCTTCAACTAACATTTTCCTTTGTTTCTTAAGAATATATGGCCGATCTATAGTAGAAGATGTTCGCTTCCTTCTGTCTGGTTGGCATTCAAATTTTGTGGGGACACATCCTGGTTTCATACGGACCTGCGACACTGATCCCATGATCTTATACTCCATAAAATTTTCCATATCATTTGGTAACTGCAATATAGTAAAATACCTGTAAATAACAAATACATGGAACCTGTTAACCTAACCTCAAAAGTTATTTATTAAATTAATTTTAAACTTTAAACTATACCAAAATGCACTCAAATATATTAGAATATAAGAAATTCATTATTATTGACTTACGTCAAAGTGATCTTCACAGAAATACATTGGAGAATTAAGGCATATAGCGGTTGGATCTCGTCGTGCAAGATTAAGCCACTTATATCGTATTATTTTCTTGTGTGGAACGTAAACAAATACTTTTTTTAGGAGTTTTTATTGAAGTGTTATTACACTGGGGTACCGCACACCACTTATACACTTTAGAATTCATCTTTAACGCCAAAAATAAGGAAATATTGCTTAAGCACCAAATATTTACTGCTGACAAACATAGATGTGACGTCACAATTGCCCGCCATGACACCACAGCGCGTTTTGGCAGAATTTTTAAACTGGGATAGAAGTGGGCGATACAAATCGTATCAGATATGAAAACTAGATATTAGTACAATATCTGAATATCGCTTACTGGCTCGTTCAATATCTATGTATTTTACAATATCTGATATTTCCGAAATCTGATGTACCGTGCTCGCTCGCTATACCGACACGAATCGCGATATCATACGCGTTTGCCACAATATCTGATTTTTAAACAGATTTCGAGCGACAAAGCGCGTGAGATATAAATACTCACTAGTTAGAGCGGGACGGCAAGCAATGCACGATATCAGATATCGAGCGACAAAGCGCGTGAGATATAAATACTCACTAGTTAGAGCGGGACGGCAAGCAATGCACGATATCAGATTTTTAAACAGATTTTGAGCGACAAAGCGCGTGAGATACAAATATTACACTAGTTAGAGCAGTACGGCAAGCAAGGCACAATATCAGATTTTTAAACAGATATTATGAATAAGTTAAGTAATTTTGAATCTTAACTCCATGCAAATAAGATCCGTTTTAATTAAATACTAATCATGGTATCAAAGATTACTACAACGATATTATTATATTTCTATTGTTTTGTTTAGCCTTGAGCCGTAACGGGCGACAAAGCGCGCAGTTAAGTAATTTTGAATCTTAACAGCATGGAAAAAAATCTCTGTTGCATTTAAATACGAATTACGGTATTAACGATGTCTTTAAATTTTGTTTAGTCTTGAGCTGGATTGCATTGGTACTAAGCACGTAATAGTAAGGGATGCCAACTTACTACTTTCTGCCTAAATTAAGGGAGAAAAATATAAATGGAAATTTTTTAGGAGGTAAATTTTTTGTGAATATTTTTATCAGTTAAATTTTATTCATATATTTGGAAAAAAATAAAAGTACACAAAAGAAAAATATAATTTAATAGTGTTGTGTGCTGCTTGGGTCTAAATCAGACCAATGCTTATGTGCTTTGTGTGTATATTTTAAATTCTTCCGCCCTAAGTTATAATACTGAATGTATTATTTCTTACACAAATTATAAAGATATTGTCACTCATGATTGCGTGTTTTAAAAATATGTTAAAGTCAATTATTAAGCGATATATAAGATGTTAAAATAAATCATTTTTATTATTACTTCAATTTCTAATTTTAATGAAATTTATAATTATATCAGGTAATGTTTTATTTTACCTTAATAGTATAAAAAAATCGTGATTTTAAATTCAGTAAGTTTTTTGAATTTAGTAAATTTTAGTGGGTTTTCGAATTTATTTAGAAGTACATATTCTTTTTGAACAGTTGGTATCACTGGTAATAGCTTTAGTTATCTCTAAGTACAATGATCGTCGAACAAGACTTTCGACGATTAAAGTCAAACAGCTTACGTTCGTAAACGTGAATTTAAACCCGGAGGAATCTAAATAATTATTAACCCACACATCATTGTAAATAAGTTAAGTTTTAAATAACAGGGAAAATTATGTACATAGAATGAATCAACTTTTAAATACTCTTTATTTTTTTTTTTTTTTTTAGAATTCAAGGTGGATACGGGACCGTAAAATATCTAGATATTAAAATACATAGTTTCGAAATCTGATATTTGAAATCGATATCTGATTCAGATACGGTACTCAGAAAAAGCGATACGACCCATCTCTAAACTGGGATATTAAAATGGTATTTTTTATACTTAAACGTTATTTTCTGTTAAAATAAGATAGTTTTTGTAACATTGTAGATGCGTCTCAACATCACAGAACACTTTTTGAAAATTAGTCATCATGCCTATTATAATTAATGGTAACTTAATGATCAAGTTACTTTCAATGATAATAGCAATCAGTTGCATCAATAATACTTCGCTTAATTTTCGCAATATTAATAATGAAATCAAAGTTACCACACCTTTGCCTTAAACAATAAAACCAACACTATTCAACAGGCTTAAACAATGAAGTAACATAAATTATTGGATTTTGCAATAACTTCACGACAATAGAATTTTTGAAAGGTCTTAACAGATTTCCAATTCCCCCTAGCCAGAATGTCGTCAAGAGGGAAATTGTCAATAAAATTCCTGGAAGCTACAGCGGAACGCACACTACCTGGAGTTGCTGATATACCAGCTTCTCTCATAATACTTTTGATCCATCCAGCGATTACAGCGCGAGAAGCTGGTTTTGGTGATCCGCGTAGCGTTATAAATAAATTCGTAGAACCACTTTTACTACGTCTATCATTTAGTATTGTTATAGTTTTGTTGATCCAATGAACAGGATCCAAATTCTGCTTTTCAGGGTTAGCTAAGAGCCGCCAGCCAGACTGTCTATATTCACTGCAATCTGTTTTAGATCCGAATAAAGGCCACAAAGTAATAGAATCATTATTAATAATACAATTCCCAACACCTATGTCTAACAAAGTCAGGTCGTGAATTCTACGACCTGAACATAATATTAATAGTGTTGCTGTATGTCGTACAGTCTGGAAAATATTATTACTGTTTACTGAATATTTACACATATAATTAGCGAGTATATTTATGTCCCACACAGGGGGCTTAGACGTCTGGGGATTTCTCAAAGATATGGATTTTAAAATATGCTTAACCAAAATATCCTCACTTAATCTACTAGACAATTCTGTATTGCATAAAGTAGATATTACTGATTTGTGGAGGAGAATATATCTATAGGAAAATTTATATTTAAGGTGCAGATCAGCTAGAAACTGCGCCAATTGAGCTCCGTCAGGACGTACCGGATTGATTTTGTGCTGCCTAGTCCATAATAACCAGCGATTCCATGCTACTTTATATGTCTTCCAAGTGGAAAGTCGCCACGAGGACTTAAGTAAGCCTATCTGTTTGGCGTTCCACGAGCTAATTGACTCTGTCCACCCCCACACTTCCAGATCTCCAGAACCATGTTCTCTATTTTCGGGGGTGGTAGACCGGTTCTCGTATCCACTAGATACTGTTTTAGGTTGGTCAACGTGAACGGTGCTGCAATGGCTCGAGATTTGAGGTCCGCTCTCCAGAAAACTTTATCCCATCGAGGCACCACAAGTAGATAAGTTCCCGTGGCCTGGTTCATATGGATTAAAACTCGAGGAATCAGGCAAGGAGACGGAAACACCCATGCAAATGGGAAGTTCCATGGTACGCTGAAAGCTTCGTGAATTATCGCTTCGTGATCGCCGTAATAGAGGGTTGCATAGTTGATTAGAACATGCGCAGTTTTGGACGCAAACAGATGGATCACGGGCGTCCCCATTTTCATGAAAATCATCTCCGTGCATTCCGGAAGTAAGTGCCACTCTGAAGTTTGCCGAAGTCTGGATAGATAATCCACGTGATTGTTGTATTTCCCCGGAATGTGATAAATCCGAAAATATACCTGATTTTCGTCCAGGACTTTTAGAACTTGATGTGCTAGATTGGTGAGCGGTAGAGATTTGGTCCCCCCCTCGTTGCGAAGATACGCTACTGCCGAGAGATTGTCGCATTGGATCAGAATTGAGCCGTGTTTCATTCTGGGCGCATGGACTTTCCTTTAATATTGTAAGTAACTCCTTCATGTTGCAGTGTAGAGACTGTTCCTCTTTGTTCCATGTACCTGACATAGTTTGGTTGTTGAGTTGAGCTCCCTATGCTACATCCGAGGCGTCGGTAGTTAGAAAGTGTGTCGGGGGATGTACATGTATTGGGGTTGACAAATGGCAACTTTGTAGCCACCACTGCAGTTCCTCTAAAACCTGGGGGGGGGGGGGCAAATTGTGGCTCATTGAGGGGTCTTCAATAGCGTATTTAGATGGCATAATATCACTCGGTGCTTTAATCTCCCTCGAGGAACAACAAAGCTTGCAAAGTTTAACAGTCCCACTAGGCTCTGAATTTCTTTCAGTGTTGCACTGATGGATTTTATGAGCTGAGACGTTTTGTTTACGATAGCAGCCGTTTTTTCTTCTGGTAGATACTTGAGATTCAACCATGGGTCCCAAATAAGGCCTAGAAAAGTTATGCGTTGTTGTGGTGTCAGAACAGACTTCTCGTAGTTAAACAAGAATCCTAGAGTTTCTAGGATTTTTAACAGCATTCCCACGTGTTCGGTTAATACTTTGGGATTTTGGTGTGCCAGGAGGAAGTCGTCCAGATAAACAATGACCCTTACACCTTTTTCTCGAAGAATCTGCGCCACCCAGTTTGTAAGACAAGCAAAAACTTTCGGTGCCGTGCTTAAACCGAACGGGAGGCACGTCATTTCCAGCAATTCTTTGTTGTAAATCAGGCGTAGGAAACGTCTGTGGGGCCTGGCTACTGGAAGGTTGAAATAGGCCTGTGACAAGTCCGCCTTGCACATCCAATCTCGAGGTTGAAGGAAGTCTGGGACACGGTACATGTTTATTAACCGAAAACGGTCCGTTATCACAAACTGATTTAACAACTTCAGGTTGAAAACAGGACGAAAGGTCTTGTCGCTTTTCGGGCCTAAAAATAGGGGCGAAACGAAGCTTGGGGAGGGAGCTACTGCCTTCAACACGCCTTGCCGTTATATTTGGTGAACGACTGCCGACATGTTTATTGATTTTACTGTACGACGATGATCGCTTATTAAATTTGGTATTACCAACGGTGGTTTTATTCGAAATGGTATGCAATACCCTGCTATTATTTTTAAGATAAAGCCAGTAGCTCCCATCAACCTCCATTGTTTGAGGTATTGACTCAGTCGTCCAGCTTGAAACAGCAGATAGTCATTGCCGCTGTCTTTTATTACACTTTGAGTTGTATGAGGGCGAAAAGGAGCGCTTTTGACCTCTTTGGCTTTGGTGCTTTGCTCTCGAGCCGCGAGCTCGAAAGGAACTAGCTCTATTATTAGGATTTTGTAATTGATCCTGATTATCATTATTACGGCCTTTTGAAGAGTAATGATAGTGATGACCACCCTGCGAGGGCTGGTTTTGGTGGTAATGCATGTTAGTAGCAGGAACTGGCTCAGCACAGTAATTAGAAGTACCACGCGATAGTACAAAACGTGAAGAATGTCGGGCAGAGTTAGCAGGTTTAGCTCGCGAAGCATTTCCGCTAAAATCTTGCTTTACAGGCCAGAAAGCTTTTCTTACGCCACCTGCTTTCTCTGAGGCAACTGTAAGCGCGTCAGCGCTAAATATGTGAGTGGCGGAAGGAGGTATTTTACTCAAGGCTGCTTTCACTAGTGGATCTCGAATGCACTTAAGTATCCCATCTCTTCTCATTTCTATAGCTTCAGCTCTGTGACCGCAAGCCATTTGTAATAGATCTGTGGAGATCTTGTGAAAGTCTCCTTTAAGAAAAATGTTCTGAACTTTATCGTCGAGATCGATTAATGATGCATCGGACCTCTTAGACCACAACAACAACTCACGTAAGCCATTCAGGAACACCTCTTTTTGTTTAAGTACACAAAAAGTAATGGCCGCATAAGATTTATCAGAGTAACTCAAGTGCCGTGTATTGTCATATGCCTTTACTTCTTCGTTTGTTTCTAACTCAATAAATCAAGGTGAATGGTTATATAACTTTCGAGTGTCAGCATACCGAACTTCTGACCACGTACTGCTGCCAAATCGTTGAACATCATTCAACATCTTTAAATATTCTTGTGGCGTTTGCGGTACGGTAGGTTCCTTAAGTTTGGTCTCAATATCAAAACTTAAACCTGGTATTACCACCACATCTGAGTTGCCGGAAGACGGTAATGCCCGCGAGGTATTTACCCAATCTTCGTCATACAGTTCACGACTGACGTCCGAAATATATGACACATTGTCATTATTATCAAAGTAGCTCCTATTACCGCAGTTACTTAATCTTTTCTTTAACTCGCCCACTTCTTTAGACAACTTTTCTAAAAGTCGGCGATCACTTTTTTGCTTTTTCGAATGACTACGACGTGAACTCTTTCTTTCTCTTCGATTCTCGCGGAGATTGTGAAGAGGAAGATGAACAAGAACTATTAGAGCTACTAGAGCTACTACTATTATTACTATTTTTTGACTATCAATAAGTAAGTGAATGCTTCTATATTGAATAAAGATATTTGACTTTGACTTTGATTACCACTAGAACTTTTTGAACGTCGCTTATTTTCGTTAAAAGTACTTACCGTCGGGTCATGAGGGTGGCTGAAATTGTCCATATTCGCAATCGCTAAAAAGAACAGGTTCAAATTACGCGAAATGCGTTTCTTTACATTAGAAGTGTCGTAATAACTAAAGAAAGTTGAAGGTAGAAAAATAAAAATATTAACAGAAAGTTAATAAGTGCAAAGCGGCATTAAATGCCGCTACTTAATTAACGTCTTATATTGGAGGTAAACTATAAAACAGTATCGAACGGTAACACCGTTGAAATTGAAAATACTTGTGCAATATGCAACTTACGTGTAGATGATGATATGTCACTTTTTCTTCACTTCACTTTTTCTAATACTTTTTAAATATATTTTAACACTTTATGAGCACAAGTTGTCGCAACGGAAATGTTGAATTGAAGCCAATGACATACAGAGCATCTGGAACCCTCAAGCTCCCTATGCCCCCACGCCTGGTGACTGGAGGGGATGTGCGAAAGAGACAGCGATATGCGGTAGAAAGGGAGGTATGATAAAACGGAAACAGGAAATGCCTATCTCATTATATTAAGCTTCTAATAACGGTCAAGTTGTTTAATATAATTTCTAATTTGATGATTGACATAAATATAAAGATGTAGTTCTAACTTCAAGACAGTTTTACGTGACACTTTGCGTATTTAAGTTTTAATTTATTCACTGCTATTATATATTAACAGTAAAATTTTTATTTTTCACAATTAACCAATTAAGTTGTTTTGATTTTGTGTACATGATGAATTCATTAATGTTGTTGAGTGAACGTCCCATGGCTAATGGCATAATCATTGAAAAATAAAAAATAAAACTGTGACAATTATTGACATTGAAAGCTTAAAGTTTGTTATCACTACGCCTTTTCCTAGTTGCACTTATTTCGTACGGTAACACTTTATGAAAATCCCGAAGTAAAGTTTTAAAATGAAAAATGAATGCAATTTTACAAGAAAACAACTTGTCCAAAACAGAGTATTGTGTCAGCTGTTTATGTTACATGGAGAACAGAGTTTTACAATGCTATAAATTGCACTGTGAACCAGTAAAGGCAATATTCCAGGTATTTCCCCTTTTCAGATAAATGTGTGAATGTGGCAAGGAAAAAGGTGGTACTACTGTTGCCCATGAACATAATATATACCGCCCCCATGCGTTATCATTACCAAAGAAGAGTTTTGATGAATAGTTTGTTGTTAGATTTAGTCATCAGGTTAATCACTCCTCAAAGCTGTCTTTATGTAACCCTTTATAATAGAAAAAGGGTTTGCATTATGAAAAAGATTAAGTAGATTAAAATTTGTTGATAAAACTGTAAAAATTTTTGCAAAATATTATGTAGTAGCTACCCGCCCCGGCTTCGTACGGGTGCAATGTATTAAACATATAAACCTTCCTCTTGAATCACTATCTAATAAAAAAAACCGTTGCATAGTTTTAAAGATCTAAGCATACATAGGTACAGATAGGGACAACTTTGTTTTATACTATCTAGTAATCTTCACAGTTTTGTACATCATAATTGCAGCAGAGAATGTATTAAAAATTAAAAAATAAAGCATATTAATAAGTTTGCAAAAACATTTGTAGACAATTTTCTCTAGATATATTATTCTAAGGTTAATTATTTATTGTTTTAATTTCAGGATGAATATCTTTATATTTGTTATTTATGTAAGACACTAATTGAGAAAGCTGAGATATTCATACAAACTGTCCTGAATAATCAAATTCTGTTAGAAAATATTCGCAATGTAAGTAATTATTATTCTAAAGTACAGTTCATTACACCTATTCAAGCTATTAAGCATATGTAATGCCCCTGAATGTCTCCATCTGTAATATTATCACTAATTCTGGTTATTTGTTATTCTCTAAATGTTTTGGTCTCTAGAAGCATGTATAGGGCACATGCATATTGATTTTAACTATGCAAATAAACTGTAAATTTATGTTATAAATAACCCTGCCATCATTGAAGGCTCAAATTCAGGATGAAAATATTTTTAAATTTATTGTGCACAACAATTATTAACTCACAACACACACTGTTACACTAGAACACAAAATATTAACTTAATTTATCCAATAAAGATTTCAGATAAAGCCATAGAAAATCAAGTACACCCAATACATAACCTGAGTATAGTGCCATTGGATGCGATAGAAATATCCGGAAATGAAAAACAGATTGCAGAATCTATTTCCATATATAAGCAAGGCGTATATAGAGACTGCAGTGTCAAGGAAGAACTTAAATTCGAAGATGATGACCTTCCAGACAATGGTGGAAATGATTTTACCAATGATATTGGTGAGTTAATTAAATGTCTGTTTTTAATTTTATTTAGATTAAAAACAGACATTTGTTTTGGTAATTATTAACAAAAGGGGCACATTCCTTTTAAAGTTAAACACTGTAATTGATAGAAACATAACAAAAATAATATTTATGAAGAAAACATTATTGGAAACATTTATTTTCATTAAAAAAAATTCACAAACAAACCGCCGGTAGTAATCAGTTGACATCTGCAGTAGAACAAAGGTGACCAACATAGCTCAGAAGATTAGGAAGCTGAAGTGGTGATGGGCCGGCCATATAGCTCATAGAACGGATAACTGTTTGGGAACTAAAGGTTCTTGAATGGCAGCCTTGTACTAGTGTAGGAGGACCCCCAGTATATCGAGTGACAACCTATTCAAATATGCGGGAAGTCGTTGGATGCAGGTGGCTCAGGATTGTGCTAAGTGGTAGTCTATGGGGGAGGTCAATGTTCCGTAGTGGACTCAAACAGGCTGAAATGATGATGATACTGATTACTTAATTTTATTGTTTTCACTGAAAATGTTAACAAATTATTAATAGCTGTAGAAAAAAGTGAATAGTACACAGAATATTACACATATTCACAGAAACCAATTACTGTATTTTTTATTGATATTTGCAGTAAATCATTTGAAAAAAATAAAAAAATTTGTATCACATTTTAGATTTCAATAATGACGTAAAAGAAGAGGATTGCAATTTAAAGAGCCTGAAAACTGAATTGGATGCTGAAAACTTTGACACATTAAAGCGGGACATCAAGAAGACCAAAGTGAGAAAGAAAAGTGGCAAAACAAGGAAATCCGGTATATGTTGATTTCTTATTGAAGTAAATTTAATACATCTGTTTACATATTTCTCTGTTTAAAATGTTACTAAGAGTAATTAAATGAACATAGGTTCACAGTAATAACACTAGATGTTTGAAATTTTTTTTAATGTATTAATGGTGTTGAACCAAGTGTTGCAGTTTGTATAGTTTTTTTATCTGCATTCCTTTGTTTAAAGGAATAAGTAAAACTTTTTTTAGTGTAAAAAAACAAAACTGACTTGAAATGTCTCACTTAGTGCATATCTGGAGTTCTGATAGTAAATAAAGAAAAAACTGAATCAATACCTCCTCCTTTTTTGAAGTCGGTTAAACATAAGAAATGACGGTTTAACGAACATAAATCTTTTTCTAAGTCGTTCAAAGATCAGTTCTTAAATGAGTTCAGAGGTAACAAACATAAAAAAGCACATACGACAGAGTTGAGAGTCTCCTCCTTTCCGAAGTGGATCGAAAATCGGTTAACAAACGACGGAGCTCGATTCGAGAAACGAAGTTTTCATTGATTTCATTCTGATTTCATTTGTTTTATTGAAGTCTTTTGAAAATCACATAAATGTTGGAGTTCAGAGGTAACCAACATAAGAAAAATTATAACACCTCCTTTTTTGTATTCGGTTGAAAATCGGTTCTTAAATGTCGCAATTCCGAGGTACAACGAAGGGTAAAAAAATATACAACCGAATTGACTAGCTCCTTTTTCGAAGTCGGTCGAAAACCACTCACCCGACTCCGGTCGATTGCAGGCGCATTCAAAATAGAGTTGTTCCACATAACGCGCGCGCAATGCATGGACGAGCTGGCTAGGAAGGCCACAGAGAAGGTGTACCTCAGCGCTCCGTACAAATGCGAGCTCTGCGTGAAAGGTTTCACGTTCAAACCGACATACGACAAACACATGGAGTTGCACAGTAAGGTACGAACCAACAGGATGCTCGGCTTTTTTTTTGATGTGAGAAGGTGTCAAGCGGACTGGCGGTTCACCTGATGTTAAGCGATAACCGCCGCCCATGGACATTTGCAACACCCGTAGGGTTGCGTTGCAACCTTTTAAAAGTGGGCCCCGGCTACCTCACCCACCAGACGAAACGCAGAAATATAACCCTTCCACTTCACGCCGGTCTTCTGTGAGGCCGTGGTACTTACCCGGACGGACCTGCCCATTCGTGCAACAGCCGAGGCTGTTGCGTGGCCGTACCTTTTTGGTATCACGCGTGGATGAAAGACGAGCCCCCCCCCCCCCCCCCCGCACCGCAAATTTGAATCGGTACGTCATCACGTTTCCAGGAGATGGGCGACTACGAATGCGACGTCTGCAAGCAGAGGATGGACTCCAAGGAGCGGCTCACCAGCCACAGGAGGTACCACGAGGTGTGAGTATTTGCCACGCTGCGTGGCGTGCCGTTGCAGAAGCGGGCAGCCCAGCCCGGTAAGAGCCCCGTCCCGCGGACCGGCTTGGACCAGAATTGGTCTCGTCTGCCCACGAGATTACTGAGAGAATCTTGTTCATCCTGTTCAACAAGAGTTTGTTTTTTGGATATTGGAAACTAGCCACCCGCCCCGGCTTCGCACGGGTGCAATGTATTATACATAATTATCAACATTCCTCTTGAATCACTCTATCTAGTAAAAAAATCGCATCACGGTTCGCTGCGTAGCTTTAAAGATACGTAGCTTTAAGCATACATAGGGACAGACAGACAGCGGGACGAATTTGTTATATACTACGTAGTGATTCAATTGACGGTGCTAAGGTTTATATTGGAATTTATTTATCAAAATAAATTTTAGCATTTTATTGTTTTATTATTTCTTAATAAATATGTGCTTATAACGAACGCTTATGTGCGAACTAAAATGGAATAAAATTTGACATATACGTGACACTTATTTGAAATAAAATATTCGTTTATTATCATAAACAAACTGCAGCTTCACTCAATTCCAAACTATGACCAAAAACTCGGTTTCAATTAATAAGAGATGTTACGCTTTCACAATTTTTTTTAATTATGATAAAATTTAAGTACTATTTTAATTTATCTCTTTAGATGGTAAATTCGCACATACATACTTGCACTCACACGCAAGGACGCACGCACGCACGGACGCACGAACACACACGCACGCACACACACGCGTGCGTAGATTCGGGGGCGAAAAATCGATCTGGCTAGGTTTCATTTTAAGAAAATGCCCTTTTATCAATGTTTTCAGGGAATGAAAAATATCATTCGAATATGACGGTAAATTTCGCCGCAAAAAAAATGTTATAATAGCTCGATCGGTAATCGGGCGCCCCCGAAACAGACGGCCGCAGTTCGTATCACGATCATTTACACACTTATTTTTTTTTTTACTTTTTTTCTGTACCAGATCATTTTCTTTATTTTTTTTTTATTTCCAAAAACATGATTTACCAAAAAAAACCGAGCAAACCTCGGTCCTCCAGGTACTTATTATCTATACGGGGTATTTGATAATTTATTGTGAAATAGTTCCATTTATAATGGGGTACATTTATATATTTTCTCATCTGCTTGGTTTTATAAATAAAAATAAACATACAATAACATAAAAGTAAAATTATTATCATGGTGGGATATTTACTCATTTCCTCTATAAACAAATATCCTTATATATATAATTCTTCTGTACATGTGTATGTCACTCAAAGTCAAAGTATATTTATTCAATATAGGCCTAACTTAAGCTCTTATTGAACGTCAACAAAAAATCTACCACCGGTTCACTAAACTAGACCTGCACAGAAGAGCCGGCAAGAAACTCTGCGGTCTTGTTCTTTTTGTTATTTTTTTTTTTTGATGCAATTATACACATTTATTTAGGTATAAAATCACATAAATCAATCATAAAATCACTGAACAGCTGGACGGATTTTAAAGACATTTTTTGTGTCTGCAGGTCGATTCGAGAATGGTTTAGTTTCACAATTCTTTTTTTTTTTTTTTATTTATAAGTTGTCGGATTTAAGTGGCGTGTACAGGACATCGTCTATTGGGCTTGCTAGTGTATAAATTGTATTACTATAATTATGATAATTGCTATTATTATTTTATCAGTCGTTACAAATGCCTGGATTGCGGCCTCGTCCGGATAAACAAGTGCACCATACTGGACCACTACACCGCCCACCACGCCTCCGGCGCCGAGTTCATGTGCCGCCTCTGCCACAAGAGCTTCAAGTGAGAGGGAGACAAAAGATATTATTCCCGCCAAATGTTTCGACTCACAGATGTAATATACGCAGGGGAGCGGCGAGTTAATGAAATGACGAATGAATGAATAATAAAGCATAGTTTATTATTTTCGTTTATTTAAAAAAAAACACTGCTCTTATTGTACGATGACATTTTCCCGTGGTGTAAGTACGTTTTTACACACTTAAATTTCATATGGACTAACGCTCAGATCTGAAACAGTTATCTGTGGTAGTAAAAATAGTTGTCTCGTGTGGGAATCGAACATGCGACCCCCGCCGCCGAAGCCAATACGTTGGCAATTGCGCCACGGAGTCATTAAATTCAGAGTTATTTAATTAAAAAGTTATCAATAACATTTAATTTTTTTTCCAAACAAAGAATACTGGCATGCGGGATAATTTTTTTAAATTTTTTTTACACTTTTTTTTTATTTCCTTATAATTTTAATTTATTTGATTTTTTTTAAGCATTAAGATTATAATTAGTTAAAAATAATAATTATTTTATTAATTAAAAAGTAGTTTATAAATTGTGCAGTATGTATTGATTAGTGTTTGCCTATAAGTAATGAAACAAATCGAGTCTCTTCGTACAGTACTCTTTCATCCTTTGTATTGTTTATCGTTTTTATTGTTCAATAATTATGTTAAAAATTAATTTAAATTGAATATAATTTATTCCAGGAGACGTCTATCGCTGAGGAAACACATGTCGTACATGCATAACAACAGGGGGAGGGTGATATGCGCGTATTGCGTCAAAACTTACGCGAACAAGGAGGTTCTTAAATCGCACATGATGACGTGAGTTCTTATCCAGCGGTGCTGGCTGACGCGAGCCAGTCAGGTAGCCCATACGCCGGCTGAGACAGTAGACATCCACGTGTTCCGGATGACGAGAATAAAACAGTATTAATATTTGTAGGAAAAATGGTCGAATTTTTTTTTCCGCAGCGGGAATCGAACCCGTCGTCCGTATTCGCGCCCAGTCACTTTAACCACTGAGCTGAACAAAACTTCGTCCATTTTTTCTAACTATTTTAATGTTTCATATGTTTTAATCTTAAGTGCATGAACGCAAACAGGAATAAACACAAGAAATAAAACAAAACAATAGTTAAATGAGTAGTCCATAAGTGATACGAAATAACTAATAAATAGACTTTATATAATATAAAGTTACTAGCGAACCGCCCCGGCTTCGCACGCGTGCCGTGCTGAAGGTGTAACATTCAGATAGAAAGACAGATATACACACATAAAATATGTATATAAATTATAGTCTATATTCTGATGCATAAGCTATATTATTGTAAAGTTTCATTAAAATCCATTCAGTAGTATTTGCGTGAATGAGTAACAAACGGTGGCAGGGCCACGCAGCAGCCTCGGCTGTTGCACGAATGGGCAGGCCCGTCCGCGTAAGTACCACGAGCTCACAGAAGACCGGCGTGAAGTGGAAGTATGAGAAATACTTTCGCGTTTCGTCTGGTGAGTGAGGTAGCCGGAGCCCAATTTTCAAAAGGTTGTCAACGCATCTGTAACCCTCGGGTGTAGCAGATGTCCATGGGCGGCGGTATTCCTTTACCATCAGGAGAACTGTCTGTTCGTTTGGCAACTTTTCACATAAAAAAACATGCATCCATACCTACAAACTTTCGCCTTTATAATTTTAGTAATTATATAAATCATAATCATCAAATCATAAAATTTTGTAATGTATCTAGTAAAAAAACGCATCCAGATCCGTTGCGTAGTTTTAAAGATCTAAGCATACATACAGATACAGCATACATACATCATATGGACAGACAGACAGCAAGACGACTTTGTTCTATACTATGTAAAGTTATTGACGGCAGCCAGAGTTGACTCAGACATTAAGACGTGAAACAACTCAGCTAGTCCCGTGACCATGAAAGGGTTCAAAACGTCGAGTATTTAGAAATCTAATTAAACGCGATGAAAACCGTAAAATAGTTTCATTTGACAATGTATAATCTAATGTATAAAATTCTCGTGTCACGGTGTTTGTAATTGAACTCCTCCGAAACGGCTCGACCGATTTTCGTGAAATTTTGTGTGCTTATCGGCCAGGGTGGAGAATCGGACAGCATCTATTTTGCATTCCCCTAAATGTTAAGGGTGGTCCACTCCAAACATTTTTTTCTACCCTACAAATAATTTATATGGAAAAACAACGTTTAATGGGTCAGCAGAGGTAGCCGGTGCCCGCATTATTAAGAGGTGGCAACGCATCCGCAACCCTTAGGATGTTGCAAATGTCCATGGGCAGGTTGTCACTTAACATCAGGCGGACCGCCGGCTCGTTTGCCACTTGCTCACATTAAAAAAAATGTATAATATTCGGCGTAAATACAAGAAATCAAAATTCGTTCGACAGCAAACACCCTAAGGAGGTGTCCGCCGTGGAGTCGAAGCTGAAATGGATCTGCCAGGATTGCGGCAAAGGATTCAAGGCTCCCTCTCAGCTGAAACTGCACAGCGCGAAGCATTCCTTAGAGAGGGGCTTCTACTGCGTCGAGTGCGATAAGTATGTCTATTTGTGTGGCGTTAGAGTCGATTATTGCGCGCACTTATAAATACCACCTTAGTCGAAAAACTTAAGGCTGAAGTCTTCAAACTATTATCTTTACTTTTAAAATCTATCGCACTGCACGAAGAAGTTGGGTTAACTAAGATACGCCCCTATTTTTAAAGGTATAAAGTCGAAAATTGCGCGCACCTTACAAAATATCATCGTAATTGAAAAATTTAAGGCTAAAGAAGTCTTTACACTTTATCTTTAATTTATAACTTATAGTATTACGCAATAAAAGTTGGGTCAAGTGAGATACACCTCTATTTGTAAATGTTTAAAGTCGAAAATTACGCACACTTTAAAAAATATCATCTTGCTCGAAGAATTGAAATCTTCACACTTTATTTTTACTTTATAATTTATCGCACTGTAAATTGTTGGATAAAGGTGCCTATTCGTTGTAAATTGTTATTGAAAATTGCATTGCATTTTAATTTCGATCCATCAGCTTAAATATTTTATAAATACTGACATGTTTTGTTAGACTCAAGTCTATGCTATCATACGATATCAAATTATTTGCGCGGTTCTTATATATGTTGGAGTCTCAATAAGGAATCAACGACTACATTAATATATTATGGCTATTTATTCATAATACACACAACATAAGTTATATATTTATAAATAAATAAATACATCCTGTATTTAGTTACATGAACCGCTAAATCACTAGGAAGGGTCAAGTCTATAAAAAACATTATTTATTTCCAGGAGTTTTAAGACTGAGAGCGGTCTAAAGCAGCATTTAAAAATAGCAATGCCACACGTCAATTATAAGGATCTGCCGTAAGTATGGTTAGATGTCTTTAAAGTTTTTAATATATCCGAAGTATGCTAAGAGTTGTTTAGCATACAAATTGCATTTGGGTGAATATACGCAGATCAGAAACACCAGGATCGAACACCCGTACGCATTTACAAATAAAGAGTACTTTATTTCTAAAAAAAATCTTAAACATTATATGCAATATGAACTGACCCCCACACCAAGCTATTGCCTGTCCTATGGGAGATAAATAAAACGATCTATAGTTTGATTTAAGGGCTATTTATTAAGGAAGGGAGCGGCCGCTTAGTGAAGTAACAGCTTTAATACAAATTCCACTGCTGGGCAAAAGCCTCCTCGGTAGAGGCTGATACCCATTAGGGAATAGTCCACCACGCCACCCCACTGCAGATTCTCGAACTTCACATATATTAAATTATGCAGATGTCCTCACGATGTTTTCCTTCACCGCCGAGCGCGTGATAAGTGAGCACTTAAAATTAACAATTTCATTGGTGCCGCCACCGGGGATCGAACTCAGGTTGCTCGAGTATAATGAATTAAAGGCGAGCGCCCGGACACTGAGCTAGCACGGCTCACCTGATGCCAAGTGATACCGCCACTCATGGACAACTGTAACACTTGTCTTAACTGTTATTAAACGTTCAGCGCTACGTCCAACTCCTGGGGAGGGGGATTAGAAAGAAACAGAGCGAGAGAGAACGCATGGCGCTCGAAGTTTCACTTCTTCCGCGCGGAGGGACTCCACTTTTTTATAATGAGTCTCTTCTAGCAGCAGCCTGTTAAAGGTCCATCTCGCCCCCAGCTTGCCTTGTTCCCATTGCGAGAAGAGGTTCGCGATCAGACGGGACCTAGAGCGCCACGTCAACCGGATGCACCTCAACATCAAGCCATTCAACTGCGACAAATGCGACAAGGTAGCGCACCCTTTCATATATACACGCACAAACTTACGTACACAAACATACGTACAGACACGTACACCGAGGTAGCACACCTGTTCATATATAAAACATTAAAACATACATACACACATGTATATCGAGGTAACGCATTCGTTCATACATAACAACTCGACAAACATACACACGTACACCCAGGTTACGTACCTATTCATACATACACAAACATACATACACATACAAGCATACATACACATACAAGCATACATACACACATGTATACTGAGGTAGCGCACCCGTTCATACACAACACCACAAACAAACATACATACGTACACCCAGGTAACGTACCTACTCATACATACACACACAAGCATATACATACAGGGTGGCTTTTCTAAAGGTGCCCAAATTCACACAGGAGGTTCAGACTCGGTAGTATAATCGTTTATTGAAATTTCTGTTTCCCACAGCGGCGACAAACTTTTCGTACTTTTTCTACAAATTTTTATTTAGAGCCCATCGTCCTTGTTTTCAGGCGTATTTGAACAACTGGACCCTCAAACAGCACAAGCGCGCCGCACACGAGGGGTACAAACGCCCCCTCAGCTTCCCCTGCCCGATGTGCGATAAAGTCTTCGACGTGAGTTTCTCGCTGTTCTGGCTACTGTACTATCGTGAAAGACCGTACATTAGGCTATATGGAATATAATATTTTTGTTACATAGAATCGAATTAGATGTAGAATTCCACACGATCGCTTGGCTAGATGGTCAAGGTTGTTGGTCCAAACTCCGGCGGCGATTGTTCTTATTATCATTAATACAGTATTTTACTTCTGTTTTCTCCTACAAAATTCCGCATGTGTCCAGCAGTGGACTGGAACAGACTGAAAAATGGTGATGATACTATGTCTATTCACGATCCACGTCTCGTAGTGGATCAGTTTTAAAATTTTCGTAAAAGAAACTTAACTAATAAACGATTTATAAAAGGTCACAGTCAAATGTGCGTAAGTAAACGATCAATCTTATTTTGGCGGATTTGGTCTTAGTACGTGGTCGTGACCGGTTGCACCAAAGCCCCACACAACACCTTAGCCTAATCCATCCCTCTTAAACATTGGCAATTATCGATTGGTGGCTTGAAAGCGAAGTTGCCAATTCATTGTATTCGGTTCGAGGGGTAAATTTCCGCGCTAAGACCAGTATTTGCTCGACGCACAAACAATTGTTTCGATTCTGGGTGTTTGTGTATATGAAATGCGCTTAGAACGCAGGATATTGCTATACAGCATTGTCCTGTTGTAAGGACAGAATAATGCTGCCCGGTATATAACAGAAGACGTGCAAAGATGGCAAACGAGGTGGCGTTTCACTTGATGCTAAGTGATAACCGCCGCCCATGGATTTGCACCGACCGTGCGTCACCTTTTCAAGGGGTTTCGGTAGAAACAGTCGAAGGAGAGTCTGTAGTTCTTTTTGGTCCTTTGTGACCCCGCTCGCCGCCTCGCCGCCCACTCGAGCTGCAGGCTTCACGCGAATTTCGCCCCTATCCGCAGCGCAAGTGCACCCTGAAGGGCCACATTCGCACGCACACCGGCGAAAGGCCGTACCAGTGCAACAAGTGCCCCGCCAAGTTCAACCAGTCGGGCATCCTCAGCACCCACATGAAGCTCATACACCTGAAGCTCACGAGGGACGGCAGGCCGAAGCCGAGCCTCAAATAGGCCGCGGGCACCACGGAGAGGGAGACGGCGAATGCGGTGAAAGAGAGAGACGGAGCCTGGCCTCAAATAGGCCGCGGGCACCACGGAGAGGGAGACGGCGAATGCGGTGAAAGAGAGAGACGGAGCCTTGCCTCAAATAGGCCACGGGGACGACGGAGAGAGAGACGTCGAATGCAGTGAAGGAGAGAGAGTTCGAATAGAGACAGAGAGAGATCGAGTGGAGAGAGAGTGGTAGGGCCACGCAAATTTTCACTGTTGCACGAATGGGCAGGGCCGCACGGGTAAGCACCACGACCTACCTCACAAAAGACCGGTGTGGAGTGGAAGTGTTATATTTCTGCGTTTTGTCTGGTGAGTGAGGTAGCCGGGGCCTACTTATTAAAAGATGCACCTGCAACTCTACAGGTGTTGCTTGTCAATGGACGGTGAGTTGACATCAGGTGAACCATCAGCTCGGATTTTCGGAAGGATTTCGGTCGGTGGGCCGTCTGTCATGAAGCTGTATCACATGAACCGTGATAGTTAGTAGAAATTTCCACAGGTGGTGTATTTCTGTTGTCGCTACGACGACATATACTAAAAACAGACTAAAAAATATTTAAGGGGGCCACATACAACAGACGTGATTTTTTTGTCGTTTTAATGATAATGGTACGGAACTCTTGGTCCGAGTCGAGTCCGACTTGCACTTGTTATATTGAACTTATGCAGAAACTCCAAACAAATAATTGTCCATAACAGATCGAAATAAAACAAAAATTAATTTCGCCAGCCACTTCTCTCTCCGAATGTACTCCGAATGTACAAGTAGTTAGCGATGCAATGATTTTGTACAAAGAAATCTAACCCTTGTTCATCTGCGAATAGAAGACATGCCGTAATGTCATTTAAAGATCAACACGACATATAAGAAAAACTGCATTTTTTATTCCCCCCCCCCCCCCCCCCCTCCACACTTTTAGAAAGAGTCCTATGTTCAGTATTTTATATAATTTTTATATAAGTTTGTTGTAAGCAAACTCAAATGATTTTAGGCCCCAAGAAGAATTTGTGAGCACCACTTCCCCAAAATGATGACTTAAAGATTGATTGAATAAGTACTTATTGTATCGTTTAAAAGTATTACGTGATATAATTATATTATGTGTTATACAGCGTGTCGTTACATCGCGACAATAAATGAACACATGTCTAACGCTACTTACCAATAATCATAAAAAAAATATTTTCGTTAAAAAAATCCATAACTGAAAAAAAATATTTTTCAAACAAACTAATTAAGTAAAAACGAAACAAAATTTGTAAAATCCTATTCATCTGCAACTGAATGATTCATACATTCAGAGACTTTTTCATTGCGCAGCGTGGCATAACAAGCCTCTCCTAACAGTATGTTTTGTCTCTTTTAAATTCATTTAACCCATTCATATGCTTTGTGACCTTTACAAATGAACTTTACATTACAGTTTTATACGTAAGGGTGTTCTAAAATTCTTTATTTTGGAAAATTTTATAACTCTGTAAATATTGATGTTTAAAGAATGTAAATGTTTAATACAATTTTAAAAAGTTATCCTCTATATGTATGTTCATTTATTGTCGCGATTGTAAAGACACGCTGTATATTTATATTTAATAATTATGTATTTTTTTCTTTTATAACTATGTTTGTGCACTTACCTCAACTTCTCAGTACCACCCTAAGGTTGACTGGTAGAAAATGCTGTCAGCATTTAGTCCGCCTATGTACTGTTTTGTGCATGATGTTTAAAAATAAATAAATAAATAAATAACTAAGTTATTATTGATAGTGGATTAAGTGGCGGTGTATGAACATTTTAGCAGGCAATGGATAAACAGTTTCACGACACAATGGCGCTGTTATATCCCCTAAACAGTACTAATTTTTTCCTAATTTGCCTACACATAGTAAAATACTTAATCATCCCTTTCTATTCTATGAGAACTTGTTAAGCTAGCAGGCGATTCACCAGATGTTAAGTGAATACCGCCCCTGAACGCTTCAGTGATTACACATACGTTCACACTTAATAAAGTGGTCTCCCGTTACCTCACTCACCAGATGAACCGCAAAAGTATGATATATACCTCACTTTGATTGTGGGGGCGTGGTACTTCCTTGAAGTGGTCTGCCCATTCGTGCAACGGTCGTGGATACCGCAGTAAATATCCTCCGCCCCAAATTAATTGGGACTAAGCCAAATCCCAAAAAAAAATTAAACCACTATGACTATAGTGGTGTAACTTTAGTTCTTCGTATCCCGTGACCATGAACGCTGAACAGGGTTCGAGACGTCTCTGAATTAAACGTTAAGACTTAAAATGTGATTAAATCCATTACATATTCATTATTATGTATAATAAGTGCGAGTTAGTAATAATGTTCAATATCTAGAAATAAATGTAATTAAAGATAACGGTACCAAAGTTTGAATTAAACGCTGCTGAGATGTTAGCAGTTAGCTTGTATCTTGTATTAACTGATGTTTTTGCTTTCAGTCCCGAGACTATTAAAGCTTCATCTGACGCAGAACCGGTGGGCTAGCCAGAACCCATGGGTTTGGGCCCTCCGCTGTGGGTAGGGCCGCGCATGTGCTCATGCGTGCGTTTAACTACGACATGTCATCTAAGGGCCGTCGAAGTTGCGGTGCGGACCGAGACCCCTAAGGCCATCAACTGTGTTTTTAGCTAATCGGTGGCTGCGGGCGGTGAGAACCGCCCTGGAACGCGGGTGTACCTTGTGTACGCGTTGTGTTGGTCTCGCCGTGCTCGGAGGCGAGGGCGAACTATTGTGTTTGTTGGTACACTAGCTGTGGGGGTGTAGTGTTATCCGGCGGGACCCCCGGCGGTGGGTCCGGCGTATCTAAGTCCCCTTCCTCGACCGGGTCGATGAGGACGTTTCGCGGGCGACGCTTGTTGACGTTCGCGTTTGTGTCGGGTTGGTAATTTGCTGCGCTTACCACCAGAGGGTTGGGATGATGTTCGGCTCTATCGAAGAACCGTTTTGGTCAGATCTTTGAAATATTCGCGAATCGTCGGGAGTCTGCAATCGCTGTGCAGATCGACGTTGCGTTGATACCACTGTGCACCGGTTGCACGGCGGATGAACTTATTTTGTACTATTTGCAGCTTGTACAAGCGAGTAGGGTGCGTGTGGGCGAAGATCATGCATGCGTAGGACATAATAGGTCGTACGCAGGTCTTATATAATAATAATTTGTGCCTTAAGGGCATTTTACTTTTAGCGTTAGTTAAATTGTGTAGCCGGCCGGAGACGAACGCGGCTCTATTACGAACGTTATTAATGTGCGTAGTAAATGACATACGCGAGTCGAAAGTGACTCCTAAGTATTTGACCTTTTTCTCCCAGGGGAGCGGTTGGCCATAAAGGGATATTTGCCCCAACTTTCTGCATTGGCGAGGGCCATTATAAAGATGTGACGGGTAAGTACTTCGTGTAAAGTGAATCGCCACACTTTTTTCGGGATTTATTTCTATTCTCCATTTGCGGAACCAATCTCCGAGGCGGTCGGCGGCGCTTTGGAGTCGAGTGGTTAGTATTCTAAGGTTGCGGTCTGAATAAAAGAGCGCGGTGTCATCCGCGAAAAGCGCGAGATTGACGTGGGGGTCTTTGGGTATGTCGCTCGTGTAGAGCGTAAAGAGCAAAGGTGAGAGGCAGGAGCCTTGTGGTACGCCGGCCGTGAGGCGGCGGCTTGTGGAGAGGGTGCCCTCGACTCGATATCGAAAGGAGCGATTCAACAAAAAGGCCCGGATGGTGTGTACGAGCCTATCTGGGCACATTTTGAGTGTGTACAGCTTGTAAAGCAAGCCGTTGTGCCAGACCTTGTCGAATGCCTTTGCGACATCGAAGAAAAGAGCCCCTGTACTGATATGTTTCGGGTGGTTTAGGCCTTTTAGGATGTGCTCCGTTAGGCGGTATAACTGGTCGGGACAAGAGTGTCTAGCTCGAAAGCCGAATTGTTCCGTGGGCAGAAGGCCGTTGGAAAATACGTGCTCTTTGAGCCTGTTTAATAAGAGCCGCTCGTAGAGCTTCCCCAGGCAACTGAGGAGGCTGATGGGACGATAGCTAGAGGGCTGGTTGGCTGGTTTATTCGGCTTGCGAATGCCGATAACCGTGGCTTGTTTCCAGTCGTCCGGAAAGGAGCAACTGGAGAGTAGTGTGTTGAAAATGGTCGCCAGTAAACAGATAAGCGGCCCAGGGAGAGCTTTGAGAATTTTGTTACTGATCTTATCTGGGCCCGGGGCGGATTTCGGTTTAAAATTTTTAACTTATTTTCGATTACACGGTCCATCTCCGTTAGGTGGACTGTATCGGTGTGTTCGCGCGATGGCGTACATTGCTGCTCTAGGTTGTCCGCAAGGCATTCGGCTTTTTCGGAGTCATCTAGGGCTACTGAAGCGCTGTTAGGTCTAATTAATGGCGGTAGAGATTCGCGGGGGTCTGCTTTCAGACTGCGGGCCAACCGCCAGTAGGCGGTGTGCGATGGCTCGATGTCCTCTAGGAGAGTGTCCCACGTTGTATGTCGGTGTTCCGATACACGATCTTTGACTTCTAGCTGAAGGCGTCGAAGTAGGGTTCGGTTCGATTCCGATCGGTATCGGTCGAAGGCGCTTTTGGCTGCATTTTTTTTCTGTCTAATTAGCAGTCTTAGGTCGGGCGGAAAGTTAACCCGTCGGTCGCCCGACAGTTTCACCGTCCGTTCAGAGTCTGTGACTGCGGAAGTAATGGTTTCTCGGAGACTTGCTATCGCTCGATTTGCGTCATCGAACGTAGATATCGTCTCGGGTAGTTCGATTAAGTCCTGGGGGTCCAAGGCCTTGAGTTTGACCTCAAGACGATGCCAGTCCACTACGGATTTGGTCGGAGGGACCGCGCCGGCGTTCTGGCCCAGTTTACACACAGGACGGGCCTGTGATCTGAATCTAGTTCGTGGATTGTCTCTATCGACTCGATG